TTTAGTTAAATTTTTGAAGTTAATTTTTTAATGAAGAATTGGAAAGCTAGTATATCACTGTTAAAAACTTATAACAATAGTCAATATAAATTATATAAATAAAATATATATTATTCTTGATTTATTTTAAATAAATTTAAAACATGAATACATATATATATAAATAATTTTCAGAAATAAAGTAATATCAATGATAGAAAACCCAAAAACAATAATAATGATATTTTGGACCGCAATAATCTTTAATTTAATAAATAAGCTCATTAAGTTTATATGTTATCCATGTTTCCAATCAAATTTTTAAAATTTTCTTATTCATGTTTCCAAACACTTCATTTTTGTACTTCAGCTTTAATAGTATAGACTAGATCATAACCCGCCCGACTGGGCGGGTCTTTTTTTTTAAAGTATATATAAATATTTTAAAAATTACAATCTTACATTCCAATCTAACAATTCCAATTTTACTAAGTAATAGTATACTGTTTAAACATTGTATTTCATCACTGAATTGTGTAACAGGACGTCGGTAAAATGTTGTGACCCGTAAATATTTTAGTAATATTTTATAAAAAAATTTTGACTAAATTTGGTGAAAAATTATATATACTAAACAATTTAGTCAAAATTTTAAGTTCATTTTTAATGAAGAATTGGAATGCTAGTATATTACTGTTAAAAACTTTTAACAATAGTCAATATAAATTATATAAATAAAATATATATTATTCTTGATTTATTCCACATACATATAAAACACGAGTACATATATGTATACATAATTTTCAGAAATAAAATAATATCAAGGATAGAAAACCCAAAAACAATAATAGTGATACTTTGGGCCGCAGTAATTTTTAGTTTAATAAGTAAGTCCATTAAATTTGTAGGCTATCCTTGTTTCCAATCATCTTAATTTTAAATACTTACTATTTATGTTTCCAAACACTTAATTTTTGTACTTCAGCTTTAATAGTATAGATTATAATGTTGTTTGGAAACATGGATAGTATAAAGAAATGAGTATATTGTTTGGAAACATATATATGGATAGTAGTATAAAAGTAAATATATTGTTTAGAAACATTGATAGTTGTATAAAGAAATGAATATTAGTGATTTAGTGTAAGTTTAACTATAAAGTAGAAAAATTATTTAATTTAAAAATTTATAAAATAAATGTTAGGTCTAACCTAATGTTTCTAAATTAATAAAATAACTTTACGAAAAACCTTTGTAAAATAACAAATCCTAGTGCGCCACAATGCATATGATCTCGAGTGATAATCAGAACAACATGAGTAAGTTTTTTTTTTAACAATAGAAAGTGTTACGAGGACCAGTGGTGATTGCGAGGATGATATATAGGGAAGTCAAAAACACGATCATGGCAAGAAGGGATAGGAAGAAATTCTTAAACCTTTTGTCAAGTTGGATTATGTAATCTCAGGCTTTTTAGCATGTTTGCTCTATCTTGTTTTTATTCTTTTTGCCAAGATAGAGTACTCTCAAGATTTAGCTTTTTGTAAAATCTGAACATCATTATTATGATATTAGCATTCTTAACAAAAAAAAAAGAGTGTTACGAGGACTTCAGATCATGCATGCAGGCCCGTCTAAGGCCATGTGCAAGTGGTGCACTTGCTCAGGATCCAAAATTTTAGTAAAAAAATTTAGTTAGAAGTTAGTAAAAACTACAAAATTTTAGAACTCTCCTCATAAATTTATGTTAATTGATTAAGGTTTTTTTGCAGATTTATGTTAATTATTTTTACAGACTTAAAATTGGCCTAGGGCCCATTAAAGCATCGAGACGGACCTGATGCATGTTTGTTCTATTACTTCAGCTCACTCGTAATTTTTGAAGTCACATCTCAGTTTTGCATGTATCACAAGTCTTCCTCTGAATCGAAGCCCTTTAATGAATATACAGAAGAAAAATAAACAAATAGCTCGACCATAAATATGCGTACATATTAAGTTACCAACTATTATTGGTAGCTTTCACCAATGGAAACCGTCTCGAAGTTCAGGAAAAAAGTCAGACACAAAATTCATTAAAAGCTCTCTGAGCTTGGTAAATGTTGTGCTTATAACAAACACTCTTTCCACCATGAAGTTGCAGTGTAGAGAGGGTAAGACACTTACGAAGAATATGGCGAATCAACATTTCTTCAAGCCTCTTCTTCCCGGCTTTCACAGCCACTTGGTACTCAATCTCTCTCTCTTTTTTTCTATCTTTATCTCTCTTTGAGAAGCTAGCTTAACAAGATGGTTCTGCTTTTGTTTTTTGCATGTTGCTTCAGAAAATTCCTGTAGCTTTCTTCTCCAAGCATGTAGAAGGAAGAAATGTGCATAAAAACACGGTGAAGCTGAGATCAGACACGTCGGAGAAAACATGGAAAGTGAAGATAGAAGACGGCCTGAGACTCACTGATGGTTGGAAAGAGTTCGCTCTCGCACATGATCTGCGAGTTGGTGACATTGTCATTTTCAGACAGGAGAAAGACGTGGCTTTCCACGTTACACTCTTTGGACCTAGTTGCTGTGAGATACAATATGGATCGTGTTTGGACGACAAGAACAAGCTTGGTGAGTTTTGTTCTGTATTGACTTTGAGACTGAAATGACTGAACTTTTATCCTTGTCTTTCGCAGTGAAGATTCAAAGCAAGAAGAACGTGAAGAATACAAAAAGAGAAGCAGAGTCTAGTACACTAGATCCATCTTGTTATGTAGCTAATGTCACCCCTTCAAGCCTGCACTATGACATGCTGGTATCTACTCCCAATTTGACCCCAAAAGCTCTCATTTATTGTGTCTGATTTTGATCAAAACCATGTTCTATTGTAATGAATTTCCAGAATATTCCAAAGAGTTTTGTAAGGGCTAATGGTCTAGAGACAAGATGTGGAGAGATTGTTCTGATAAATGAGAAGGGTAAATCATGGACTCTAATTTTGAAACGAAAGAATTGGTGTGGAACTATGTATATCACACGAGGATGGAGACGCTTCTGTAGGGTCAATGGACTTAGAACTGGAAGTTTCTTCACTTTCAAACTGAACCAAAGAGGAGGAAGTATTGTTCTACGTATGTCTCCCTCCTCCATAGAGTCTCTTTCCACAGAATCCAACAGCGTTGAAGCGAAAAGATTCAAGAAGACTAGATCTATATGGAAAGCTTCATCTTCACCATCCCAAAACCTATTTGTGACCTTAACTCTCAAACCTAACGACGTGAAAAAATCTAGACTGGTAAGCTTCATCGACATTCAGTATCTTTGTTGTACACTTCTGAGTCTTGAATCCATTTTTTTATTTCGGAATTTTTGTTGCAGTATCTTCCTGTACACTTCACCAGGAGGCATGGCATCAATGAGGAAACTAAAATGACTATGTTGGACAAAAACGGTGTCGAGTGGTCTACGAATCTGCGGTCTGAGAAGAGAAGTGACGGAATAAGATTGGTAGGAGGGTGGAAAGGGTTCTTCAAAGCCAATTGTGTGAAGATAGGTGAATCGATCATGTTAAAGCTGATTCGGGATGGAGACACGAGTTGTATCCTTAAGTTCTGCTCTAAGGTGAAGCAAGAGACCAGATGAAAGTGTAAGCTTTTTGTACGAATTAAAATGAATTAAGTCATGCCCGTTTGGTTATCTATCAGTGGACAATGATCAGAACCAATCATTCCAAAAGCATGTATCCACTCTCCTTCTAGTTTTCTAGCCCAAGAAGACCAATTACTAGAACTAGGAACCTATCCAATTCTGAACTACTGTACAAGAAATAAGCTTCTTGTCTTTTACGCCCACCAACACTTTTCCTCGTTTACCATCCACAATGGTGTTGCTCCTTTGGAGTCCTTAGAAAAAATCTTTTTTGAATTTTTGATTATTATTTTTTTTTCAGATTAAAAGAAAATAAAAAAATATCAACGAATCACGGGTTACCACGTGTAAGGATTCATCAAGAAAAAATCTTTATATAAGGATTTTTTGGACAGAATCCTTAACTTTTAATGTGGTCCACTGATTATTTAATTATTTTTTCCCTAAGGACTTCCCGTTAAAAAACCTCTTAAAAAACCCCCTACAAGAGCATCTCTCTTATAACACCGATTAGGACACCTTCATACTAGATTCTCAATAAAACATTAAACAAGAAATATACTCTCTCTGTTTTTTTTTTCTTTTTTATAATATACAGTTCTAAGAAAGAAAATTTCTAAATTATTGGACGTTTTGAATTTTTAACATAAATTTCATAATTTTATTTATATTAAATGAAATTTGTGTTCTAGAGTCTATTTAACAATTGATCAAATTGTATTCAGTTAAATAATTAACGATGTTTTTTTTTTTAAATATTAATTAACATAATACGATAACCACATCTAACAAATCCGTGGAAATATTATTTTGATGTTCTCAAAATTTTGAGTCAAACGTCTCAAACATAATATTTAAAAAATTTCGATAAAAATAGTCAAACTAAATTTTATTAAGTTTTGTAATATTCAAGCTAATTTTTATATCTGGTTTTGATATCCAAACTAATTGTTTTATTTATTTTAAAAATTGTGCTACTATGCTAATTTTAATGAAAGTATTTATGAATTAATCAGTTAAAAATTGGTTTGACTATATAACTTTAATAAAATATATAAAGATCATATATTATAAATAAAATTTAGTTAATTCCATAAATTGATTTTATTTAATACTAATATCAAATGAATTTAGATAAGAATAAAAACTCAACATTAAATATGATAAAAGAAAAATTTTGCTCAAAAAAAAAAAAAAATAAAAAAAAATAAATGTAATTAAATTGCCCTCGTGTCATTGTTGTAATGACAAGATTGAAGAGGGGCCAATCTTGTTTAACATAAAAAACAGAGTATAAAAGAAAAAAACAGAGGAGATTCTCTCTCTCGGCATCTCCGAATCGAATCTGATCTGAGAAAGAAGAAGAAGAAGCTTGGAGAGATCGATGTTAGAGGATATTAAATGCACGAAGTTGGATTGACGTGGGATCTCAATTCCTTCACGCAGCTTCTTCTCACTCTCCTCTTCCTCTCCTTCGGTCTCCTCTTCTTTCTCAAACGCACCGCCGCTAAGTACTTCGACCTCGGCGGCCACACCGACCTCCGCCGAGATTTCATGGTTCCCGACACGTCTGATGAATGCTCTGTCTGTCGGAAGCTCACCACCAAGAAGTGCTCTCGCTGCAAATCCGTTCGATACTGGTATCATCCTCTTTGATTCCAAATTAGGGTTTCTAGATTCACAATTGCTCCCAAGTTAGGGTTTTGGGATTTTATGTAGACGTAGCTGGAGATAGAATTCGAACATGGTCGTTACTAGTTGTTTTACCTTGTCTTTAAGTTATTACAGAACAATCTTGTTTTGTTATTACAGAACAAGATTGTCTAAAAGAAGCCGTCTTTGAACTTATAAGTCATCATCATACTACTTGGTTTGGTTACTACTTGTTTTACCTTGTGCTTTCCAAAGTTTTGATATTTAGTGTTTTTTTTTTGTTTTGTATGAAAGAAGCCGTCTTTGACCTTACAAGGCATACTCTAGATTATTAATGTTTTGTAATGCTTCTACAGAACATTCTTGCATTGTCTGAAAGTTTTGATATTTGCTTATTTGACCTTGCATCTGTTTTAAATTCGTTTTCCGTTATTCTCTCTGTTATTTTTTACTAGCTCTGCGGAGTGCCAAAAGTCAGACTGGAACTCGGGGCATAAACTAAAATGCAAGGTGTTTAAGAGTACTGACTCTCTCTTTGGGAATAGCTCTGCGTCGAAGTCTGCATTGTCTCCTAAGCTGAGCCAAATCAAGGCTATCATCAAGCCAGGAGACGTAATGTCTCATCTTTTCCTCATCTGATATTTGATACTCTTCTTCGTGATTATGCAAGTTTGATCGATTTCGTTTGCATTCTGTCTCTGCAGGTTCTTTTCCCATACGAAACTTTTGTTCAGTATTTCAACTGGGACAAACCTAATTTGGCTCCTTGTGGCCTCACCAATTGTGGAAACAGGTCTGGTTTCTTAGTGTAGTTTCAAAGCAAATTGTTCTCGTTGTATGCTTCAGACTGATCTTTATATGCTTTTATGTCAATCTTGTTTCAGTTGTTTCGCTAATGTGGTTCTACAATGCCTTTCCTGGACACGCCCTCTTGTTGCGTACCTACTAGAGAGAGGCCACAAGAGAGAATGTAAGTTTCAAGGGAATGTCAATGCTTCGCAACTCTTTATTAGGGTTTCTGTATGTGCTTCAATTTTGCTTATATGGTTTGTTTTGTTGACAGGTAGGCGCAATGATTGGTGCTTTCTCTGTGAGTTCGAAACTCATCTCGAAAGAGCAAACATAAGCAGGTTTCCTTTTTCACCAATGAACATTATTTCGCGGTTACCTAACATTGGTGGAAATCTTGGGTATGGGAGACAGGAAGATGCTCATGAGTTGATGAGGTCAGCAATTGTTACTTGTTGGTGTTAGCCTAAGCAGTGAAGTTTCTGTTAATCTGTCAGCTAATGCTTTTACAAACTTTCATGTGATTTCAGGTTTGTAATTGACATGATGCAATCTGTTTGCCTTGACGAGTTTGGTGGAGAAAAGGTGGTGCCTCCTCGTGCTCAAGAAACAACCCTTATTCAATACATATTTGGCGGTCTCCTTCAGTCACAGGTGATGTTTCCTAATCCCTGTAGCAGGGAAGTGTGTCAATAAGACATAGTAATGTTAGTCTTATCGAATCATCGGGTCGGGTTACTAGGTAATAAGTTTAAACCAGGTTAGCCTAGGGGCTGAATTGGATCTCTCTTATCAATCTACTCCTTATTCTTAAGAGAAGCTTGTAATGTGAAGAGACTCAAAATGAAATTATGTTTCACAGCTATAGTCTGTGCGTAATCATGTTCTCATTTGCTGTGCTTTTTTAATAAACTTTTGCAGGTCCAGTGTACTGTTTGCAGTAATGTTTCTGACCAATACGAAAACATGATGGATTTAACCGTTGAGATCCACGGGGATGCGGTATCATTAGGGCAGTGTCTCGATCAGTTCACAGCTAAAGAATGGCTTCAGGGAGATAACCTTTACAAATGTGATAGGTATTTTTCTATTCCTTGTGCAGCCTTAGTTTTTTCCTAAAACAAAGACATGGTTGATTGCTTATCTTGTGAGTGGACAATGTCTCTAAAAGTGTTAGTCTCTTTTTTCCAGATGCAATGACTACGTGAAGGCATGTAAGCGCCTTTCAATTCGTTCTGCTCCTAATATACTTACAGTTACCTTAAAAAGATTCCAGGTTTTAGCTCCATTCCTCTCACTTACTCTCTTTGCGTCTTCCTGTTCCTCTGACGTTGGTTGTTTATTAAATCCAAAACTATCGACAGGGTGGAAGGTTTGGTAAACTGAACAAAAGAATTAGTTTTCCGGAGACATTTGATCTTGGCCCTTACATGAGCTGTGGAGGAGAAGGATCAGATGTATACAAACTCTACGCTGTGATTGTCCATTTAGATATGTTGAATGCCTCATTCTTCGGCCACTACATTTGCTACGTTAAGGACTTCCGAGGAGACTGGTATAGAATAGACGATTCTGAGGTAGGAATCATCTTTTATCAACTCTTGTTGTTTTGTTTGCTTGTTCTAATCTCGTCTAAAAATACTCGCAGGTGGAAAAAGTTGAGCTAGAAGATGTCCTTTCTCAACGAGCTTACATGCTTCTCTACAGCAGGTAGAGCCTTGACTTTAGAAACTATATTGTAAACAAGAATTTTATATATCCTCTTGTATTGAGAGAATAAGCTTTAACAGATTATGGTTTCTTGATATTGGTTGGTGCAGGGTTCAGGCCAGACCATCAACTCTTAGATCCGAAGAAGTTCAGGATGAGAAGAAAACAGATACAGTGAACAAAGAATCTCGCCAAGATGGCTCTGTTGAGAGTTCCGGGGTGGGAACATGTGACACCAGTGTGTCCTCGATGTGTAACGGCATCATCTCACATTCTGGGGACCCTGAATGCAATAAAGAATCACCATCGTCATCCGTGTCACCATCCGTAACTGTCTCTGAAGTTACTGAAAGGGTTGATACGATAGATTCTGATTCAACCCCTTTTGTTGACATGGAACATGATCATCAAGAAGAAGCAGCAACAAATGGGAAAGAAGATCCAACCGTTGTAAATCCGGCTGTTGTTTCTCCTTGTTCGGACATTATTACTTCATCTCTGTCTGCTACTACAGAGTCCAAACACCGGGAGAAGGAAGATTCAGACACTGAGATGATTGATAATGCTCAATGAATCCAAAAGCATGGTGAAGATCAACAAGGGAGCTTCTAACTTAACAATATTGCTGGCAAATTTGTTTTAGATGCTGCAGACTTCTGGTGCCTGAAGGATACTTAGTCATGTGTGAGATAGAAACTTCAGGATAAGTTATTCTTTTGACTTTTATTTGTCTGTTAAAATATATTTTACCATTGAACCCAAAAACCCTTATAGCAAGAAGATTAATGGAGGAAAAACACTGATGAGTCTGATGACTTTTGTGCTTATTTTGGTTTGGAAAATACAGAAATCAAAATCAATTTGATTGTTTGACCGGTTTACTACGGTCCGGTTCGAATTAGGCTGTTAGCTTGGTTTGGAATGGAATCAGTTAAATCACTCTCCTTTTTTCTTATCTCATTTGATTCAAACAAATTAAACAAAGATGTGTTTCTCTAGTCCTAGTCCATATTTTAGCAATCTCAAGATTTAATAGGTCATCTGAATTTAGTTAAAATCAGTAAGTAAGAATATGTAAATTAGGCATGAATATTTTACCCGAGGTCCGAATCAGCTGTTAACCGCCGACTCTGGTTACGGACGCTGCCAAACGAACAGAGTCATAGTTGGTAACTTGGTATATGATCATTTTTGTTTGGAATGTGGTTTTATATCTTTGTTGTAGATTGTAACTGATAACCGATGAACCACATTAATTTTTATGTGGTTAAGTATTTTGTTTATTCATTTTTCGCATCTCTTACAACAATTTTGTTTGATCCAAATATAATTTCTACAAAAAATAATAAAAACAATCTCGAATCTGAATTAAAAAAAGTCAGAAGTATATAGTCTGTATTTATACAAACTGCTGAACCTTTTTTGAAATAAACTTCAAGCAGCAAAGTTTTGATATGTTTAACAAACTGGTTTTCTAGCTTAAAAGATATCAAAACGGGTTAATCTGCATCCACAGAGAAATCCGGTTCATCCGGTTTAGGAAGCATTGGTATCTCAACGTCCTTCAACTTATGAGCCGTCTTCCTCGTGTTCTTAGCAAACCTTGAAGCAAGAATCGTCGCAGCAAAATGTGGTTTCCCAATAGAAGTATGACGAGATGGATTACTGCTCTGTCTCTCCCCTTGTTGGCTCATAATCTCCTCAGCTACAGCCGCAACAGCTTCTTCTTCTTCATAAGAAGAGAATGACTCAGCCAAGCTAAGACTCTTAGCCACCATTCTCCTCTTATACCGTCTCCAAGCCACTTGTACAAAACAAGCAGCCCAAGTTCTCCACTGGTGAGAGTAATAACGGAATGTGTGTTGCAGCTTCTTGCTATGTAAACGTCTGAACTGGTTAGCAACAAACTTGAGATCCTCTGCTTGTAAAGCAAAGGCTTCTACTTCTTCTAAAGCTCGCACTGTTCTTGTAGATGATGGTAAGTTTACTTTTGACTTTGGTAACAATGCCCATGCAAGAAGCTCTTCTCCACAGAACTCTCCTGGTTTGAGTGTGATTGAGTTGAAGAAACCGGTTCTTCCTCCGTTAGTCGTTGAGCTATCGAGCTTTCCACGGATGATAAAGAGCATTTCCGTTACTGGATCACCTTCACGTACAATGTAGTTCCCTTGTGTGCTTAGAGATGACACTAGACGTTCACATATCGCGTCTAGTAATTGATCATCCATTTGCGCAAACAACGGTACCTGAAAAAAAAACCATTACAAGAATACATGACCACCTCTAGTTCTTGTATTTATGTATTTATTGTGTTAGCTTCGGGTTTATTATGGACTTCCAACTTAAAATCAATTGGTGATACGTCTTTAATATATTACTTAAGGTTTCATTAAATTTCTGATATGCAATACTTTATTGCTAATATATTGCGATGATCTTCCAACTCAAAAGCAATTGACAGTGAGGAGATTGACGTATATAAAATACACTTACACGACGAACAAGGTCGAGACAGAGATGGCGTTGGATGTCTCTTCGAAGATCTGCTGGTAAAGAATGAAGAATGGTTTCTTCATCAACTCCTCGAGTTGCTAACCATTTATATTGAACGAAACGTCTCACTCGTTCTCTAAGATCCTGTGGTAGTTGACGATGTCCCATCCATTCTTCTGTGTCTCTTCTCTTTAGTCTCCACTCCTCAAGCCTCACCGTTATCGATTGCAAATACGTCTAATAAATACATTAACCAAAAAAAAATATATTAATGAAATAATAGATTTAATGTTATTACTGATAACAAGATTCACAGTTTACCTGCATGTTTCCGATTAAAAGAGCAAACAAAACAAGACCAAAGATAGCCACGAGGATAGCAAACATTGTCTCAAGAACAGAGGTGCTTGTATCAAGATTCTGTCCGTAAGAACTTTTTTAAACAAAGATAAGTTAGGAAAAAAAAAAACAAAAAGAAACCTGTAAGTGACGAATAAGAGGAAAAAATATACCTTAGATTCTGTAAACCAAACCATAAGCAATACAAATACTTCTCCAAGAACGGTGAAGAAACCACGTTTTTGGTGAGAGCATCCGCGAAAATCCCGAAAGTGAATTTGATATCATTTGAAGGATCACAATTGCTAAAGACAACTGTTATGTTCTGCCAGTTATTCCGGTCTGGTCGGTGCAATGTACCACAGTCAAAGAAATCTGTAACACATTGTAGAGGCGCAAACTCTTTATGACATTCTGCTTTCCAACATGTAGCTTGCCGTTCTATCGACAATAGATACCACGCTGCTCCTAGAATCTGCACAACAAAAATGTGAATGCATAAAGATAAACATAAAACCGACCTTTGCATTTATTTATGTTGATTTTAGAAGTGATTTATCAATAAAAGACCACATTCAATTTTTAGGATAAAAAAATCACTTTATGTAGAATCTGTAGAATTCCTAAAGAGAAAAAGAATGTCAGGTTTTTAGCAATATAAATACAGGTTTTATTCATTTACAAAATCCAATAAACAAACCGTAAAACATATATTTTCCTTACTCATATTTGCTTTCTTCAAGTAAGTTTAGTTTGCAGATTTTCTCAACAGGATAACATAATAATGTATTTACTTTGAAAAGCTCAGTGTCTACTAAATTACTAGCCAATGACTAAATGTGAAGCTCTTGTGAGCTGCTTAGAGAGAGGACTTAGTGACTCACATGGCTAGCAAGCATATACTGAAGAAGATTGTAAGCAGCACCGGCCCAAGCTGTGGTTGTAACAACTCCAGTCGCTTTAATAATCTCAGCGCTTAGTGGGAAAATCAGATAAAGCCTAGGAATGTATTGAACAAGAACAATGAGGACAAGTGCATTTGTTGTATGATCTGAGTGAGAGCTTCTGATTGATGGCAAGATAAACCAACTAACAATCTGAAAAAAATCAAAAAGAATTGATTATACATATTTTTCAAACTCTCTAATAAAAAACAAGTCAAAGATTAATAATACCTGTGGAAGAGGCAAACAAGCGATGAGGTCAACGACGAAATCTGATCTCAAGTATCTTCTAGCAATCAACTTAGGATCTTTCACAAGTTCTCCACGACCAAACACTCTTGAAGTACGAGAGACATACGCTGTTCTGAATTTGATAACAATGTGCAAGACGTAGAAGACATCAGCTAGTGTTCTGAAGAAAGTAACGACGATTCCAAGATTTATATCTGTGGTCATACAAGAGGATCTTCCAGTGCGTTTGACTGAATATAAGAAGAAGAACAAAGGGTCTACGTAGAGAGCAACGAGACACCAGAAGAGGAAAACTCTGTTCCATTGAAGCACTACGTCACCGCCAGGATCTAGAATCTTGTCTCTCTCGATCTCGAAATTCTCGGGGAAGACCTTGAATCTACCGAACCTAGGGATCTTGAAGATACTCTTCTTTGAGATTCCTAACTCTGGTTTTAGAAATGGAGTTGTTGATGATTTGAACATTGGCAGTGGTAGACGCTTCTCTGTTGCTTCTAGGGTTTGCTTCTCGTCTCCATAGAATCTGTGTCAGACCAAACAAGAACTTGGGTTTAACAATGAGATCAAGAAGAAGAAAAAAATCAAATCAGAGACAAAAGTCAATTCCAAAACAATGCAATGTAGAGAGGAAACTTGCAACAAAAGGAAACAAAAAGGCAACCCTAAGAAGGAAAAAAAATATCAAAACTTTATTGGGATTGCAAATGCAAAAAGTTCACCTTTTGAGAACCCAAAAATCTAAAACCTTTTTTTTTACTTTCTAAAAAGATGTTTTGATGAAAATCAAGAACCTGACAGTATTGTCTCTTTTGAACTCCATATTTGTGAAGTTGAAAGCAGAAACTTCTTCTTCTTGTTTAGGCAATGAGAAACGAATCAGAGGATGAGATGTTAAGCTGACTTCCTCATATTCAGACAATGGCAGAGAGAGAGAAGAGGATCATTCGTTGGCTGTAACAGGTTTATTGAGTTTGACTTCACGTGAAAAAAAACAAAAAAGATGAAGAGGGAGAGAGAGAACGATAGATTAATTAAACAGCTCACGTTATGCTCTGCTTAGGAGATGTAGAACGAGTGAAAGACTACTACTACTTGTTTGTTTTGATTAATTTAAATGTTTTTAAGAGAGAGAGAGAGAACGTGCGTTCCATTAACGCATACTAAGATCAATGACCTACAGTTTCTGTTTAAGACGGTTCTCTATAATAGCAACACTCGTTTTCTGTAGAAAGATTCATGAATCACTTCAAAGAAAAACAGTAGAAAACAAAACCATTTTTATATAATATGTCTATATATATCGGTAGAGAGATGAGATCAATTCTTCTGAAGGTTTTCGCCTTTAGATCTCAATATTTTTTTTTGAGAATTTTCCTTTTTCAATAATATTTACACCAAGATTAATTAATACGATGACGCGGTTATAACATACTAATACAGATTTGATGTTATTTTATTAATTTGATTATTAAATGAAGAATCGTTTGTGCTAGGGCTGTTCAATATGGTAATACCGAACCGTACCGAACCGAAATAGAGAATATGGTTTGGATTTGATATATACCATATAAACCGAATGGATATGATTTTATAAAAACCGTAGGATTTGGATATGGTTAGGTTTATAACCGATTAAACCGAATAAACCGAACAAAACCGATTAAAGAAAAAATATATAAATATATACGTTATATAACCATTTATTTTCTTGGAATAGTTTTTTTTTAAAAAAAAATTCATTCCTTGTGAAGATATCTTAATAATTTTATTTTATTTTCTTCAATTATTATCTAAATTTGATTTGATTTTGCATGTTGTAATAAATTGTGAAATTAGATTGTACTATGTAATTTATCTGGAAGAACAAAGAGAAAATAAGAAAAACTGTACAAAACTGAATCATTGGTCGTTTTGTTTGTTGTTAATTTCACATTTTTATATTTATGAACACTTAGTAATATTTTAATAAATGATAGTTTTGACAATATGTTTTTTTTTTTAAATTCATATAATATGAAAACCAAATCAAATAATAATGTTATTTGGTATAAAACCGAATAAACCGAAAACCGGTAGTATAAATACCGAACCAAACCAAATTAAATATGGTTCCAATATGGTAGCTAATTTTTATAAACCGAATAACCGAAAACCGAAAAAACCGAACCGAAACCGGACCGAACACCAGATTGAACAGGCCTAGTTTGTGCTCACCGTTTGTGATGGACACATCAATGAATTTGGACTCTTATGATCTAAGAAAAAAAGTAACAAATTATCTCATTACAAGAAAGAGTAACAAATTATTTCATATATGGTAAGAGCGAAAGTTTACCAGAAATATATGAGTAAGAATGGAATGAGATATTGAAAAGTAAATGTCATATATATGAGACGATGTACCACAATCATCATGATTGAGAGTATCTCTAATAAGTGGCAGTTTATGATTTCGTTCCCAAATTCGTTTCTCATATATCAGCCGGCCATGTGAATAGACCGATTATTTGTAAGAAAAGCATGAAAGAGGACAAAATATTTTATTTATATATTTGGATTTCTGTTCCTTTTTTAAATGATACCGAAATTTTTCTTTAACAAACGAATGAAAACAGAGTTTGATTACTTGTATGTAGATAATGTTCTTATATGCATTGGGACAAATTTTCAGATTGTACGCTTGTATGAATTTGTGTTTATAATTTTTGAAATACCAAGTTTGTTTGTCTTCTTCAGTGAAATCTTGAAGACAAGATGCGAAACAATCTTTGTTATAAAATGTGTGGCATTGCAAGACTCAAATCATACGTGAGCCAAAGTCGTAAACATTGAAGAAGCAGACAACTTTTACTAGAAGACATGGGGAGAGCCTGGTCTAAGCTAGAGTATGTGCCATTAAAAGAAAATACTTCTTGCACCTAAACCTATAGAGATCATCAGGCTTAAAAAAAGTATTTTATAAGTCTGGTCAAAAGCCATCGTACTTTCAAATAATACATTTGTAAGAGCAGGTTCATTGAAGTTGCTTAAGACTGTTGCTTAAGAGTAATTACAATTAAAATTAAATCAAAAAGGATTTAAAGGCAAACGACGTTGCTTAATTAAGCAATTAAATTTGGACTTGATCAAGATAACAACTGAGATTCGATGTCACTTTCAAAATATTATCGTTTATTTAGTAATTTTTTTTCATGTTTTTATGTTTGTAATTTTAAATTTATATTTAATTATATTATATTTAATAAATAAGTTTTACCTATTTTTAAAAAAATTATGTTTTAATTTTTTTTAATATTTTTTAATTGTTAAGCAACTTAAATTAAGCAACTAGCAATAAACCCATAAAATTAAGTGTTTCTTAACATTAACTTTTACCTTAATTTTAATAGTTAAAAATTCATTAAGCAACTCTTACAATTTCATTAAGCAACATGCAATGAACCTGCTCTAAGGTAATAACTACCTGCCAGTGTGAACAAATGAAGTTGAAGCGGCTCAGTAACTCTTAAGTTCAGGAAAACAATAAAGGCCAGAAGAGTTTTGAAGAAGGCAGCATCGACGAAGTTTTCAAACATTCGGGGAAGTAGTAAAGATCCACAATGTGGTAGACTAGTATGAAGATGCCATAGCAGGCCAATCAAGCAGAGCAGAAAAACGCAATGAAGCAGTAGAAACCAGAAGAAACAGGTAGGGATCCACAACCGAGTAAACTATTATGAAGACCATTGCGTGTCAAACAATTAAGAAGAAGCCTCAGGGCAGAGCAGAGAAGCAGAGATACGGAATGAAGCAGTAGAAACCATAAGGAACAAGGTATCCACAAAGAAGTAAACTATTATGAAGATACCACTGCAGGTCAATCATTTAACGAAGAATCCTCAGGGCAGAGCAGAGAAGCAGAGATAAGCAACAAAACAGTAGAAACCCGAAGAAAATATTATGATCCAAAACGTAGTAAACTATTATGAAGAAGCCATTGCAGGTCAATCAATTAACGAAGCTTCATGGTAGAGTAGAGAAGCAGAGATAAGCAATGAAGCAGTAGAAACACGGAAGAAACCTCGACATAATAAAAAACACTCAGAACTTAGTCATTCAAGTCTTTTAAGAACTTTAGTAGGAATATTAAAAATACTTTTACCTAACAGTAGACAAAAGTAGCAACCATATCCAATCCATCCAACACCTTAAACATGATTCTTTTGATGAAATTCAAAGATACTAGTTTCTCTTAAGCTGTCCTCTTGACGTCGCAAGCAAACAGTCGTCTCCTCATCCATCCCTCATCATTTAGCTCCGGCTTCTGCGCACATCTTTCAGACCATTTCTGCATAAACAAATACGCAAACCTCTATCAGCAACATGAACTTAGTATTTATCAACAACGCCCAACATAAAGGCCTATGAAGAAGGATCATTATGCATATGAAGTCATCTCTTCAGTAAATAACTGTAGCCGAAGTGAGTTTACCCATTAGTATATGGCACTTCATCACGTCCTCTGTAAGGTGGAGGTGACCTACTGTAGTTGCGGCCACGAGGAGAAGGACTGCGACGCCTTGGAGGAGGAGGAGATCTTGCACGAGGGCTGTAACTCCTGAAACCAAAAGACAAGTTACTAGCTGTAATCAGTTCACTGAGCTAAACCTATTAATAAGTTGAGTGACAATAACCTGCGCCCTCCACCATAAGTTGGGCTCTTCCTGTATCTCGGAGGACTGCGACCACGAGGAGAAGGACTACGCCTCCTCCCACCACCACCACCACCACCACGAGAGCGGCATTCACGTGCAAAGTGACCAGACTCTCCACACTCATAACACTTCAAATCAGAACCACCACGGCCACGACCACCATCACCTCCTCCACGACCACCACGGCCTCCACCACCGCCACGGTTATGAGACTCCTCTACTCTCCATCCATTCTTGCCTAACATAAAAACCGAATTATAATATATAACGAATCAGCTGAACCATAACAACACAAAAGGTTCCCTCTTTGCTACCATCTAAATCACGAATGGCGTCACGGGCATCTCTTGAGTCTTCAAAATCAAGAAAAGCGTAGCCAGGTGGACGTCTTGCAACCCAAACACTGCACACACAAAACAAATGAAAGATACAGACTTTATTAAAACCCTTCAATGGAGTGTAGCTAAGGAGATGAGATCGTTACCTCTTGATGACTCCATAGACGCGAAACTCATCCTCGAGCTCACGCTCAGTGACTCGTGGATCCAAATTACCAACGTACACACGCGACATCTGTTCAAATCAACTAATCAGGTTCAAATATTACGATCCAATTCAAATTCGATTGACTATGGAGAGAGGGAGAGAGAGATCACCTGAAGAAATAAGCTGCGGTGAGAAGAGGGAGACGGCTTCTACTCGGTCGTGTGAAATTAGGGTTATCGAATTCGGGATTGGAGATGGAAGTCAGTTTTAAAGTCCTCCTCCTTCTTTACTTTGGACTTCAAATGGGCCTCCATTGTTTATAAACCAGTTAGGCCTCATTATACTTCTTTTCTCACAACAAATCTTTTTTTTTTTTTTTAAGTTGCCCATGGAATTTTTTTAAACACTTTTTTTTGTCTAAAACACTTTCGTTAAACACTTATAATGGAATTGTTGCTAGATGAATTCTTAAAAGTGATATTAGGTCAAATCTTTTTTCCTTTCAATAAGCCCTTCATAAAACTTAAAATTTTGATATTCCATTAAAATTTAAAAATTCCATTGAAATTTTCAAAAATTAAAGTAGTTAATAAAAATTCATAAAAATATGTAACAAGAGAGGAAAAAATGAAATCAAAGTGTATATATATATATATATATATATATATATATATATATATATATTGCAGAATCCTCATAATTAGTTTTTAAAATTTATCAATCTTCCAATAGCCCCTTAATAATACCAAAATTTTTGCAACATTTCATAATGCATGAATTTAATCTATTAAATTAGAATCCTATGACCATTTTATGTATAGTTTTTTATTTGAACTATTCTTTAAAAAAATTATTAAGTTACACATAATTTATTTATAAAATATTTTAATATCATTATCTTTTATTTGAAATAAAAATTAATAACTTTATACATAAAATTCTCAGAAAATCTTTTTAATTTTAATATATAATTTATTTAATTATAATATTATTTTAGATCATGTGTTATATTTTAATTTTGAACTTCAACACAGGTTAATCTAAATTATTTAGATTTTATGATATAACATATTTTTACATGTACTTTATCATAACATATGTTTAACTAATTTTAACAAAATTTTTTAAAAATCCTTTTAAATTTTAACTTTTAATTATCATTAAAATAAAATTAGCAATTAAAATTAATAAACTTTTGATTTAAAATAATACAGTTTTGATTTAAAATCAAAAATTAAAAGTCTTATAAATATTGTAGTTATATTCTAGTGATAATTACACTTTAATTTGATATTTTTAAAACTACATAGTTAAAAAGATTCAGTAGATTTTTTAAAAATACTCATTTTCATTTCAAATAAAATAAAATATTAGAATATAATCCCCTATACATTAAAAGAGAAGTCACTTTGACACGTGGCACTCTCACAACCCTTCTCAGAAGAATTCTAGTGATTCTATGGGTTGATTTTTTAGAATTTATTTTTGATTTATTTTTACCATCGACACTACTAAAAAGGAAATTCATTTAAATACTTACCTTTTGTGTTTTCTCGATTCAAAGAATATCCTTTTGCGATCCTTTCTCTGTTTAATTCATTAAATACTCATTAAATATTTTAGCTCGTCACACTTAATAAAAACATGTAGCATTATGTCTCCTGAAATATATATATATACGAATAAATTATATTTGTATTTATAAAATATAATTTTGTCTTTCAACATGCGATAATATATTTTCATAAACCTAAATTGTATGTGATTTCTTATCCTGGTAAGAAAAACACACACATACATTTTATACTAAAATATGTTAAAAACATATTGTTAGTAATAACTGTTAAAAACATATGTTAAATCACTAAAATGACTTCTTAGTAATAATTACTTATCCTTTATATAAATAAATTGTTAGAAAAACACACACATACATTTTATACTAAAATATGTTAATAAATTCACTAACATATAATATTTATTAAAATGATTAATAGATTATAATTATTTATTAATAAATTATATTTTTTTATTAAATATTTACCCACCAAAAATCCGCATTCAATTAAAAATTATTTAAATTAATCGTGGCTAAAATCTTACCTTATTACAATATTTGATTATACATTTCTTGCGCATGTAAACGTATCTATTTTAATTAATTTTTAAATCTATCAAATATAATAATTCATATTAAATGTCTTACTTTATTTAAAAACTACATTACTTGCACAATAATGAAATTAAGCCAAGANAATATTGAATATACATTCTAATATATAGTTTCTATATACAGTTTCTCATATGATTAATCGTATAGAATATATAATATTCTCAATAATTTATTAGAGAATATTATATTTATTAGCTTATCATGCAAGCTAAATCATTGAGAAACGTCCACCAATTTACTATATATAAGACATTCACAGTAGGAGAAACGAAGCCACTAAAATTTTTATTCTGAACTTTTTATGTTGATATTGTTTTGTTACTTTATATCATTAAGCTTTTATATATACATATTTCATCAGAGCTGACTTTTCTTTTGGTTTATATGCAGATGCCCTATTATAATGATTTCACCACGATGCATGTAAATTTTTTTATCTTTCTATATGATTTGATTAATCGTATATCTATTTGAATTCTAATTCTTACTTTTTTAAATATGTTCATAGGTATTGTATTTCTATTTAATGATTGTTTGTTAGAGCTTAGAAGGAGAAGAATGTTTTCATATGTATTTTTCTATTGGTTTTTTAATTTACAATTTTAGTTTATATGCGCAGACCAACGATTATGACGTTTCCTCTTGTGAATCCATATGTACTTAAATCTTTCTTCACATTCATGTTATTCAGAGACATGAACATTACAAATGATCATATCATCCAAAACACGTAAACTACAATGTAAGTTTCATGCTTTGTTACTTTCTCTATGATTTTTCAAATAATTATTTGATTATACACTAAAGAAAAAAAATCTTTAATCAATATTTTATTATAAAAGTTAGTATAACTTTTTATACATTTTATCAACTTTGTACTCAAATATTATTTTATACAATTTATCATATTATAAAATGTATATCCTATAAATTCATATATGTAAACTATATAGTTCTTTTTTGTCATCTTTCTTTGTCATCATAAACTATATAGTTCTATGTCAATTATAATATAACTTTATACAATTTATCACATAATAAATTATGTATATAATTCAGAGTTAGAATATGATATGTGTAACATTTTGTATATATTTCTAATACTAATGTTAGAATAAAATCGGTTATATACAAATTTCTATATTAAACATAAGTGATAAAACATAATTATTATATATTTCTATAGATTTACAATATATCAAAATCAAAACTATTTATTATTCTTTAATTTTATAACCATATTATAGTATTAGGAAATATATACCTTGTTGGTAGGCTTTTAATTAGTTAGTTCGTTTATTAATAATTTGCCTTATTTTATTAGCAGTTACTTGCACAAGTTGATACGATGATTACTTTATTGTGCCATCAGTTACTTGTCTTAAATGGTATGTTAATTATTGCAAATTTATGACAGTCAATTTTTTAATATCTTTCTTTGATTGCTTCATGTTTATTAAAAGGATGCAAATATTACAAGAACCATAAGACTTTATATATCTCAAGAAATGTCTTTACAAGAATTTTTATAACAAATATTTCAGGAGACTTAATGATAAAATATGATTATTAATTCATAATTATTCTTTAAATTTGATATATTCTGATTTTTTATTATATATAATTCTAAAAGAAATAATCTTTTTAGGATTTTTTTTAAATATACATTTAATTGAAAATTTTAAAAATTAAATTTTCGTGAAATATATGTCTATTAAGTAAATTTCTTGTTCTTTTATGATGTCATTTATTGGTTACTATATACATGTGATATTGTATTAAATGTGTATGTTCTTTATTTCTTAATTAGTTAATTCGGAAATATGATGATTACCTTATTTTGCTATCAATTACTTGCACAAATTTATATGATAATGGTGATTTGAGTTAGAAAAGCCCAAAAATACTATCCATTTAGAAAACCACAAATATAATGGTGATTTGAGATTTAGAAAAGCCAAAACTATTATCTTTATTATATTTATATATATATAAATATATGGATCTTAAAAATGTAATTTACTATATATATACATTTGTTTGTTCTTTCTATTAACAGATAAATAACATAAATGAAATACCGTTTGTAGTTGACTACAAACCATTTTCAGTCTGTTTCAATAGCGATATGCAAATTTAATATTATTTTCGACTCGATAAAATTTAGAAATCTATTAAATTATTTTATATTGTACAATTGCTAAAAAATTGACAATTTTTTGCAGGTTTCTATGTGATTATTTTAATTCATAATTGTTCTTCTTATTTTATATTACTTATGAATTATATTTAAATTTTTATCANACTCGATAAAATTTAGAAATCTATTAAATTATTTTATATTGTACAATTGCTAAAAAATTGACAATTTTTTGCAGGTTTCTATGTGATTATTTTAATTCATAATTGTTCTTCTTATTTTATATTACTTATGAATTATATTTAAATTTTTATCACATTTTCTATGGGATTGTGATATCTATGAGATTTTTATCACATTTTTTAATGTCACTGTCTCCTGTATATTTTCTTACATTTGTTTTTTTAATAGTTAACTTTTATTAAAAACATACTAATGATGTTAATTTTTTTTTACTTTAGTTAACTTTCATTTGTTTTATTCTTATATATACTTTTTGTGACTTTTTTATTTTTTGTTTCAGTTTAATATTGAATTTAGTTCACATACTTTATATGTATATGTGTATATACCTTGTTGGTAGGCTTTTAATTAGTTAGCTCGTTTAATAACTTGCCTTATTTTATTATCAGTTACTTGCACAAGTTGATACGATGATTACCTTATTGTGCCATCAGTTACTTCTCTTAAATGATATGTTAATTATTGCAAATTTATGACAGTCAATTTTTTAATATCTTTCTTTGATTGCTTCATGTTTATTAAAAGGATGCAAATATTACAAGAACCATAAGACTTTATATATCTCAAGAAATGTCTTTACAAGAATTTTTATAACAAATATTTCAGGAGACTTAATGATAAAATATGATTATTAATTCGTAATTATTCTTTAAATTTGATATATTCTTATTTTTTATTATATATAATTCTAAAAGAAATAATCTTTTTAGGATGTATTTTTTTAAATATACATTTAATTGAAAATTTTAATATATCAAAATAACATCTTTCTACTTTTATAAATTTCGTATGACTTTGTTATCATATATTTTTAAAGTTTATTACACCGCAAAAAATAATTATCATTTAAAATTAATTTGCGTTATATTTTGCATCTTCAACATTAACAATTTTATAACTTATCATTTATATTTATCTTCCTTGCTCAATTTTTCCTTATGTTGTATAAACTCCTAAAAATAATTAGTTTACAATTATATTAATACGTAAAAAATATTTTGGTATACAAATAAACAATTATGTATGTAAAAATACAAAATAACGAAGAATACAACAAAAGGTTTTATTATTATTCACTCATGTTTTTATTTATGTCTCTTTTCTTTTTTTTCTTATTAAAAATAAACATGCCAATTTTATTATACTTAAAGCTATATGAATTATATGAATAGAATATTAATCTTGTATTAATATAATGTTTTGATTTTTTGTAGTTTTATATTATAATAAAAATTTTATTTATTCATATTTTAAAATGACATACCATATAATTTTCTGTTTTAAATATAAAAATACTTAAATAATTTTTGAAAGTGATAACTCAACTATACTATCGACATTTATCTCTGGAAAATGATAGATTTTTTTTAAAAAATTACATTTGATTGTTTTGCATTCATTGAACATATTTTAAGAATACATATATATAGTGAGGGGGTATTAAAAATATTATTAGTTTTCTGTAATGTATGATTTTTTATCCACTAATAATAGAAAAAACTTTGAAATCGTTTATATACTTATTTCTATAATATAATATGTATTTATATGTATATTCTAAATTTTTATAATGGAATATGTGATATTTAATTGTTTCTATAAACAAATTCTATTAATCCTATGTATTTAAGATGGTTAATTGTTTTTTTGGTAATATATATTAGATTAGGTAATTCTAAGATTAGTTTCCTTTTAAAAACTTTAATTAAATAAATAAAAATTCAAATGCCAACAACCAATCAAATTAAGAGAATTAATTATACATTGCACATATGAATGACACATAAGCAAAATTCATTAAAGTGACTTCTCTTTTAATATATAGGAGGATTTTTCTTTTAAAAAATTAAGCGACAAAGAGCCTAATTAAACAGATCCAAAAACAAACCGAACTGAATATAAATTGAACTGGACATAAACAACACCGAACCAGACTAAATAAGGTTTATTTCAGTTGAAAAAATATATTAAAACCGAATTAAACAAACCAAACCGAAAAAGTAACGATTTTCCCACCCCTATTACCTCTTAGAGATTTGCGCAAATCTTGTCTCAGCATTGAAACTCTCACTTTTTCTACTAACTCCCACATTTGAACTCAATAGATACTTCTGTCTCAGCATTATATTATATTGTTATACCCGCACAAGGTGCGGGCCGGTCACCTAGTAAAATATTAAATTATAAAGTTATTTTAATTTTGGACTTCAAACATGGGTTCATCTAATTATTTAGATTTCATGATATAACATATCTATTTATACATGTAATTTATCATAAATATGTTTGATCAATTATATCGAAATCCACCCATACCAATTCATATCAAATTAGTCACTAATCTCTAGACCAACCCATAATGCATTTCGAAAATAAAATAACATCTACGTAATAACAAGTCACTTATATACTAACATCAATATAAATTATATATAGGGTGACTGTGGTCGAGTGGTAAGAGGCGGGACTGAGACACCAACATGTTTAAGGTTCGACCCATCTGCTATCTGAAACTAAGTCACAATTATTCTGATCACCTAACACGGATATGAGTCTATACTTTAGAACCCATTTAAATGTCCGAAGATAAAGTATATCCGTGAGCTACACCTTTTTTTAAAGAGTAGTCTAGCATTTCCATAAACCTAGGATATCCTCAGATTAATCTAGAAAAAAATATATATATATACTTGATTGTAAGAAACATATTTAACTTAATCAACTAATAATATAATATTTAAAGGAAACTGGACGTATGTTATTCCCCTGCATCCTCATAGGCATAGGTATATTTTGTGACTGTGATCTTAAATACAATTTGATAAGTATTATATATTTAAATAATAAATACATTTATTTGAAAATATATGCTACGTTTACATAATCTTAATTAAACATATATTGTACACATATCTATATTAGTTTTTGAATCTAAATATATAAATAATATTTTGAGATCCTATATTTTATTCAAAATATAAAATGTTGTTAGAAAAATATAAGAGTAATAAAATATATGAATTTTAAAAAATAAACTGTGCAAACTATATAGTGATGAAGGTAGGTTAAAAATCATTGTAACAAAAAAATTAAAATTTCACCCCAGTTTTAGTTACATTATATATAATTAATATTTTTATAATAAAATAATTACATTATTGTTAGTTTATGCAATAAATTGAAAACAATATACGCACGTCCATACGGGTTTGAATCTAGTTAGAGCATGTGCAATGGAGAATCCTTAGGGGAGTCCTTAGGAAAAAAATAAAAATGAGTATTTCAGATTATATAAGGATATTTCAGATTTTTTCTTTTAAAAAAAATAAACTGACCACTCACAGACCACCACGTGTGCAGTGGAGCCCATAAACTGACCACTCACAGACCGCCACGTGTGCATAGAACCCAGTAGTTATAAAATTAATATTTTTCTAAAGACTCTCCCTAAAAATTCTCCATTGCACATGGTCTTATAATTATGTAAGAGCAACAACTGGTGGCACACATAAAGAGTATGAACGTTATGCATGTTACGGTTGAAGATGTTACATCGTTTTCCCATCACCTTCTCTACACAAATTAGTTGAACACTAAAATCATACTTATTGGATGACCAAGAAATCATACTTCTTAGTTCTTACCTAAATTAATGTTGTTTTAGATTTTTCACACAAATTAAAAATTAGTTAATACTTTATCCTTTTTACAACTAAAATTATATCATATTTATTGTTTTTCTTAACTTCTATAAGAGTAAAAGTGATAGATTACTAAAATATTGCATTAAAATCATAAACCGATATTAAAATTATTAACAAAATTTTATCCTACAATGACACTTATAATTAATATGAAATAAAGAATGTGTCTTTGAAGCCATAAACCATGCTTTTGAAATCCTAAATAATAAAGGGAATTATGCTAATATAGAACAGAAAAACGGGTTTCATGTCCCTTTAGTATAAAATATTTTTTGTCCATTTTTTTTTACCATTTTCATTTATAAAAATTAACGAAATAAATAGTTATATGACTCGAAAATATTTAAAAATACAAAGAAGTGATGAAATGCTTATATACACAAACTGATATATATATATATATATATATATATATATATATATATATATATATATATATATATATTTAACTTGGTAAATTAAAAATTTTAATTACGTTCTACAAAGAGAAGAATTCATATTTTACGAAAAAATCTCATAGTAGAACTCATATTCCACATTAAATAGTAAACTCTACATTTTTTAGAACCTATATTTGACGTTTATATAGAACTCTACATCTTCTAGAATTTATATTCTACGTTTATATAGAATTCTACAAAATAACTGAATGTGGGTTCTACGTTTTAAACTACTTCTACAAATCTCAGAATACGTAATCTACACATAACTCAAACGTCTACTAATAGTATAATTTGCTTATAGTGACACGTTAGTATTTCTACTATCTGTAGAAGGTACCTTCTACGGATAAGATAAAACAAATTCGAAAATTTTGAAAATTATTTAGGAAAATGTTCTACAAATATTTGTTAATAATTGCACTCTCCCGAAATGTGGGAACCAATTTTTTTACGTCAAAAAATGCCTTCTGTGTCGACTCCAAAAGCCCAGCTTCTTCATCTAACCTAGTCTCCATTGTTTTTCTTTTGATTTTCACAAATTTTCTTGTATGATGCATATCTATACCACTTGTGGTGTATGGGAATTAAGTCCTACAATGGGATGGGTGTTTTCGGCTGATGAAAAAGGCTCGATGTAAATATCATGGATAAAGATATGACATAAGGACAACCAACCCTGCTGAATCCATCAACTTTGCTTTGAGTTCACCAAGAGAATATCCAATCATTCCTTTGTTGGCAGTATCCATCAACTCTAATTACAAGTCTGTTTTCAGCTTCTCTGTTATGCATTGCTATCAGTTTCATAGGATTTTTGGTTCTAAAATCTTTGAAGATTTGTTTTCAGTGTCACTCGGATACATTACAATGATGTTTTCGATTTTCTTTACAATGATGTTTTCAGTTTCGTAAATAGTAAGAGCAGAACAAAACAAAACAGAAAGAACCATAAAATTGACATATTCATTGTAAAAACAAAACTCTAAAAACCACAAAAGCATGTTAAGAGATTGTAAGAACATAACACAAAGAAACAGTAGATTGATTTCATCTACAAAGAAACCTGGCAACAGTCCATCCCTAGCCATTGCCATGAAGATTTGTGGCTGATAAAGAAAACCCCAAAACAGTGTCAAAAACCATGACCCACACGTAGACTAGCATATAGCTAGAAATATCGGTAACAAAAAAAAATTAAAATTTTCTGACATTAGAATCATATCTAGTCCATACCCTTCTCCAAGACAAATGTAAGCATAATGATAAGTACTCCCAGCAGATGGACATCGAGAAGCAAGCTCAGCATAGAAACAAGCGGAGAGAGCAGCTGCTACACCAGCGATGAAGAAGGATACAGCAAGAGCACGTCCAGTGTGTTGTCTAGCTACTATCCCCACAAGAATATACACTCCTGCTCCAATTGTTGTTCCAACTCCTTCAAAAAGTCAATAAAGGAAGTAAATGATCAATTTAATATACAAAAGCACAATCAAACGTTTGGATCTCTGTCTCATACAAATAGAAACAAAGTCAACGGCTGTTAGTTTCTTGGCAAGCTGATGACGATGATCTCCATCGTGTTTTTTTTAATATGAGGAGAATCAACTTGTTTCCTTCTCACAACACTGTTCAAACTACCCCATGAACACTTCCTTGAACCACCCCATGAACACTTCCTTGACACAATCTCCTTCCAATCTCCTTGATCTCCTTGTGTTCTTATCGGGAGATCGAGAGAGAGAGAGAGAGAGAGAGAGAGAGGCAAAAAGGGAAATCGCCAAATTAGGGTTACATGAAACATAAAGGGATTTTGTTCCCTTTCCCTTGTTTTTAATTATTTTTATTATTTTTGTTTTTAATTGATTTATTTATTTTCATTAATATAAGTTATGTTTAATTAAATTAATCTAGGGTTAGTTTTGGGATTATAGAAAAATTATACTATTCAGACATATTAATGTTGGTTTATACTAAGGGGACATGAGGCCTGTTTTTTTGTTCTATATTAGCATAATTTCCCAATAATAAATAAGTAACTGAACTGAAACAAAGAATATACATACAACTACTTTGTGCATTACAGTTTTTTGTTCGGTTATGTTAATTCGGTTTTGATTTCTCAATTTCAAAGATATAGGATCTGTTCGGTTATTTGTGAAATCTTGTATCATTTTGGTTCACTTATTTTGGTTATTGGTTCAGATAATAAAACTGGAAGCTGGCTAATATACAAATAAAATTCAGATCCAATTCAATTCCATTTCGATTCTGGTCTTCAGATAATTTTGGTTATCAAAATTTTTGGAGAAAATATTGAGTAGTTTAAATTTTTGGATAATATCGGATAGTATGAAATGTTTTGAATAAAATACCATTCTGATAATTTTATTTTTGGATAATGTGGTTTATAATTGTTAGGATATTTGGTTACTAAGACAAATGAATATAATTAATATTTTAGATACATAAATTTTATTTTAAAAATCATGTACTCATTTGGTTTTCGCTTTGATTCCAATTTAGTTTTTATTTTTCGGTTCAGACATATAGGTAATGTGCAGTTATGAAGTTCGGTTTGATTTTGATTCCATTTTTTTATTCTGTATGTTATTTGGTTCTTGGTAAACTTTCCCATGGCTATTGAAGAGCATCTAGATGGAACAATTAAAATGTGATTTGTAAAATAAAGACTGGTTGGATAACAAGGATAGTGTCCACGCTGTATGATCTTTTTGAATAGTCCTATGGTGTGTTCATATAAATCATTTCTCCAAATGCAATTGACAAAAGTGCAACAATTTGGCATTGGATCACATATTAATGGATGAGATGAGGCACTATTATGGTGTGTACAAAACAATATTTGTTATTAGTCTTTTGTGGTTAGAGGAATGATTATATTTTTTTGTTTTCTTCAAATTGGTTGATTTCAATGTCTCATTTGCGGGTGGTTGGTATACCGCACATAATTTAGCTCGGTGTAGTTTTCCATTGTAAATAGCTTCGCCATATTTCTGGTTCAGTTACTTTAGCTTCTCCGGTCTCGACGGTGTTTGCAGTCGACAAGGCTTCCTCTTCTATGGTGTGCGGCAGACTTGTCGGCGCTTACGTACTTTTTTCTCCTCGACGACGGTTTTTAGGATTTCAAATCTTGTTGTCATGTATTTTGATCGATTGTTATGTCTTTTCTTTATTTTCGCATCTATTTACATCTGTAAATTTTCGCAGACACAGTTGCAACAGCTGCTTTTAAACGAATTTGATCATTAACTATGATGTGAAAACATAAAGCTTGACGTGAAAATTTATTAAATATCATAAACAAAATAACTAATAATATCCAATCACCCACAAAAGGATGACTATATTGTATTTGTTTTACTATTGAACTAGATTTGGATTCGTGCAATCACGCGGGTATTTTTTCAAATTAAATTGAGGAAATTTTAAATTATGTCGGTAGCGTATTTCGGTCTTACATAGTGAAACAAACAAATTAATATCATAGATAAGTAATTTGTAATTTAATAATTCTATACAAAGCATAAAATTTTCTAGTATTTTTGTCCGTAGAATATATTCATTTTTCTAATATATGATGTTTTAGAGAATTATTTTCATTTCAAATAAGATGACATTTTAATTTTTAATGCAAATTTATTCATTTTTTCTTTTTATATTACTTTTTATATTCTCCCGTTAACATTTTTATTTGTTGAATTATGATTAATTGAATAATTAATGATGTTTTCGTAAGATAAAATATAAAATTAATATTTTTCTTTAATTTGTCTGAACAAATCAAATTTTAAAGCAAGAAAAGTGAATATAGTGTAGTTTAGTTGATTATACATATTAGTGCGTCTATATTTGTAAATACATTTGTTTCACAGAAAATATGTTATATTTTTCTATTATATAGATTACAATTTATTTCTATGTCAAATTATTTTTCAATTTAGATTTAACAGTTGAACAACATTCTAGAAAATGGTAATAAATATATATTATTAAATATATTTAATTTAATTATATGCTTTTAAACATATTCTATTATACATTTTATTAATTTTTAAATAATGTTAATAATATTAAAGAACAATCCATAAGTAGAGAAATCATAGCCTAGAAATAGAGTTTTGTATATAACATTTTTTGATTAATCAATAAATTTCATAAAAAAAAAAAAAATTTAAAGAACAATCACATATTGTGATACTTTTTGACATCATCAAGACAAATAACATTAATCATATATTATGGTTGCATAACATAATAGTAAAAATAATACACACGATCATATGTATATAATCATATATTATGATTGTATAACATATGATTTTTTTTGCTTAATGACGTACCTACAAAATAGTTAATGACCTATAAAATAGTTATATATGTTGTTAATAATTATTAGATTAATAGATTAATTCTCTTTTATAAACTAGTTAATATATCTAACTATATTTAATTTACTGATTTTAATTACATATTTTTATTTTAGCATAGTAAACAAATTTGAGATTCTCCTAAAAGATAGTATATTATTAGTTTGTTAAGATATTAATAAGAAATATTTGTGATTAGATTTACTGTAAAACCTCTATAAATTAATAATGTTGGGACTACACTAAAATTTTATTTTTTTATTAATTTAGAGATATATTAATTTATAGATATACTAATTGAACCAAAAACTCAATTTGAGACTATAAAATTATATTAATTTATATTAATTTATAGAGATATTTAGTGTATATTAATTTATCGAGTATTAATTTATAGAGGTTCTACTGTATTATGAAAACTAAATGATATGATAATTTAATGTGATGATTTTCTAAGAGATGATCCAAAATGAAATATCAGACATAAAAGAAATCATGACTTCTATTTTAATAAAATACTAGATTTTGACTCGCGTTTTAAAAGCGCGGATATATTTTTACCATTTTGATAAAATTTAATTGAATTAATTATTCAAACACAAAATTTAAAATTTGTTTTATTAATATTTAAAAATATTCTATTATAATGTTTGATTTCACATAATGTTTTCATATCCGATCAAGATCCATAGTTGAACCGGTACATCTGGAAAACTTTTGTATAATCCAGTTAAGAGTTAACTAAAAATTTACTAATTAAAAAGTTGAGCCAACCATGTATATATCTTAAACCCGCTATTTATCTATAATATGATATCCGTTGATACGCTAAAAACTCCATAAAAAAACTGATAATATATTTTAAAAAATTTGTTAAATAACTCATATTTTAATATTAAAGAAAATTGATTTTTTGTAATTTCTATAATAAAAACTTTCTTATCATTTGAAAAAAAAATGAAACAATGGTAATAAAAAAACACAATTTATTCATATAATAATATTAGTTAATTTTCGTTATTAATAACCTATGATAAGTTTACCTTTTTACTTATTTTATATTTAAAATTAATTTTTAAAACAAATTCAATTGACCTATCATTATTATGGATAAAAGGACACAGTAAATAATAATTTATAAATTTTGATCACTAAATAATATGATGCACAGAAATTTGATATTAAAACTAAATAGAAAATCATAATTTTCATAAAATAAAAATTATTATTAATCAAAAAATAGGAAATATTATTAGTTACCACAAATATAGAAAATATTTAGTTGTTTAATTAATTAAGATTTTAAAAATAAATAGTGATATTATTTTATAAATATGATAATAATCTAAAGGTAGGATCTAAAATTTTAATAATAGGATCTTCTTTTAATAATATAGATAGATAGATGCGCACTTTTCATGAAGACCCAAATACTACAAGGTTTATTGATTGGAATTATTGAATACTAGTTTTTAGTGTATTATTGAAATGTCTCCGAGAATCCACTTGAAGCTTTGTATGACGACGACAATTATTCCTTTCTCTTTCTTTTTCTCTATTCAGATGGAGACAGTTCAACTAAAGAATATAAAAAACGGCACTCAATCATGACTTATTTATGATCTATTTTTGTTATATTTCTTTCTGATAGTACAAATTCAGAGATAAACACATGAGTTATAACTCACAACAGAACCTAAGTGTTGAAAAGACTATTTTGTAACAAATCAGTTTAACAAAGTATATTTTAGTTTAATGTTTTTCTAAATGTGTCATAAAAAGTTTCTTGTTAAAAATAAATATATACATTCAAAATCTTTTTAAAAAGTTATTATAACAAGCTGTCAACACTAAATCTAACTAATTGTAAATTTTGGACAATAATAATTAGTTCTAAAACTAATAAGATACATATAAGGTTTGGGAATGTACGAGTGATTAGAGTTGATCCTCAGCCGACTCTAAACTAAGTCTACTGAAACATTCAATATAGATTTTCAAAAAAGTTTTAAAAAATTACATAGACAAAATTTTCGAAAAAAGTAATTCGAACCCCAAAATTTATAAAAAGAAAATATAATTCATTTTTTATAAATCGTTTAGAACCTCTAATTCTCAAAGTCGTC